CCCCCCCCTAGAATATTTTTTCCTTTCAAGACCGAGAATAGTAAATCTATTTTAAAAATGATCCACGCCGTTTTATAATTGAAGCTTTTCACTTAAATCTTATACATATTGTATACTAGGCAAAAATTAGGATAAATTCTTCTTGTACAATGGTGACAAGTCTAGTAATGACTGACCATTCTGTTTCAAATGCACTTGCGAAATTGTAGTTCATTCTCTAGTGGTAAAGTTTGTTGGTGTGATGGAATTTTGCACCTTACTTCGTGTAATATTATCGGTTACTATTCCGTGAAACCGACGAAATCTTTACGTTGGAATTTTGCTTCTTTAGAAAATTCTTTAATTCGAAGAATTTAATTTAAGGAGAAAAATTGAAGAAAAATCGAGGCAAAGATCGGAGCAAAGAAACGAGTGATAGACGCAAGAAGAAATATTAAATGTTATTTGAATGTTTAGTTGATAATGTGTGTAACGTTATCGGCAGCTTGAAATACATGTGTTACATACGGCTTCTGTATTCTATCAAAGATCGATTAGCTTTGCTGTATCTATAATGCAAATAATTACGGCTGTGTGAAATAAGATCGCTTAGCTGGCTTGAATTCTAATATCAACACGTGGTATGAAATTCATTGTGTATCAAATTTACCGAAAATTTCACTGAATATCAAATTAATTCTTGTTCACTGACAGTGAGTTATTTATTCATCGTATTGTTTTCTTCATTTATGTAGTTATTTTATTTTTATGCAAATGAAGATTAAATGGACACGGTTATTATCTCACGCATACGTACTTTTATTTGCAAATTGCATTTTATTTTTATGCAAATGGAGATTAAATGGACACGGTTATTGTTTCACGCATACTTTTATTGCAAATTGCATTCTACTTTTGCTTATAACTTCGCGACACAAGCAAAATGTCACACAACGTCGCATATCAAAATTGAGACTTCATTCTACATTTATTAATGAGAAAATTTCAAGATGTTCATACGATATTTTTTTGAGCTTGTAATTGATTGAAATTCCATAAGTAATAATAATAGAACTTCGGAGAACATGTGACTCGTTGAAACGATGACTGGCAGCGTGGACGTTATATTCGAGGAGAAATCTCGTGGAATATTGTAGCGAGCTTTGTATTGGTCAAGCTTGTGTATTTTAGCGGGTACGTGAGGCAACTGCACGACGAAGGCATGACAGGCAGTAAATCTGTGCGTATGAGTAAAACGGGGGAAGATCGAACGCGTCTCGCGAGGAGAAGCCGGCGGTTCGGAGAAGTCAAGGACCGTTCGTTTGAAGCCGGCGACATGGCCGATCGGTTGTCGATACTTGGAATGGTTGAAAGCCCGGCTCTGCACACGGGCCGCGTTCATCCGTGTGCAGAAATCGGTGATCACGCGTCCCTTGGAAATTCAGTAACATTGATCCTTGGATTTCGCGGAATTTCTCGAAATTCAACGAACGTCGATTTACACATTCGCGGAATGGGAGTCGATCTTTCAAAAGTGAAGGAGTAACTGTGACTGGTCGATTGTATATATTTCATGTATGTAACATGTGAATTCTTTTCTTCCTTTTCACGCGAGCTTTTTCTCAATTTTCTGTTCGTCTTATAGAAGTGAAGGAATAATTCAGCTAGTCGATTCACGTAACTTGCATACCTGAAATAACTCTTAAATTATTGCGTCTCATGAAAAATTGTTTAATAAACAAATTGTATTGTTTTAAGAAAGGCAAAATCAATGGCGTATCTATTTTTTTTTTTTTTTTGTACGTGTTGAGGGGTTTCGAAATTTCCAAATTCGTTTCTATTTATTTATTTATTTTTAATTTGTAGACTATATATTTTGTCCATAATAAATCGAAAAAATATTAAATTCCAAGTAAAAAGATATTAAACGATATTGATTTTAAACTTAATGATTAAGAGAATATTCTACGATAATTTATTATTATCCAGGATGAAAATTGCGTAGTATCGTCAGAGAATATTATAAATATTTGACAATATTTATAAATGTCAGTATTGTTATCTTACAAGTGCCTTCGATAGATCACACGGGTAAGGTAGCATGGAGTGAGATAATCCCAATTCTAAGAATTGGTGGGGATAGCGACGAACGTTTAACTAGGCATTAATGTATTACGAGAAACTGGCAACTTTAGTGTTATTGACATCGCCGTACGTAAAGTACCAATGAATGTTATTACCGTCCTAGAAATTGTAGAACACAATCCACATAATTAATAAACATCGAGATTTCTCGATAATCCGGAATTAGTCGATCAAGTGTTACTTTGAATTCTTCATGCATTCATATCACATGTATCTTCATCAGGAGCTTCACGGATCCGATTTTCAAAATCGAGTACAATTTATCGAATAGTTTTTGCAGCAAGTAAGTGTTAATGAAAGTTTCCTTTAGAAAATGTATTGTTTACGGACGAAACAACATTTGCCAATCATGGTAATGTCAATTTACATTATTGAGCAAATAATTCCCATTGGATGAGAGAAATTGATCATCAACGTCCGTGGAACATTAATGTGTGGAACATAATGATCCTAATTCTCTATGCAGTTTTCATCCTCGAGACAAATTATCGTAAAATATTTCCTAAACCATTAGGTTTAGGACCAATGTGGCTTAATACTTTTTTACTTGGAATTTAATATTCTTTGGATCTGTGATGAGAAAGATATATGGTCCGTTAAAAAAAAAAAATATTTAATGTACATAACGTGAATATAATGTGAATCTTTTTCCTTTTTTTGCTTTTCACGTGAACATTTTTTAAACTTTACATTCCATCTTATAAAATTTCCCGCTTTCTTTTCTTCTTTTGTAGTAATTGATCCAACGTGATTGTATGATTAAAAAGGAGAACTGCGTCGAGCGAGAAAATCTTGTTAATTAATCAATAGTGACACTTAGAAAACTTTCTTATCCTTTATTGCAACTTCAGTCTCCTGTTTCAAAGTTATTTGGTTAAAGAAAACTTGAACGAACTGAGAAAAAGAAGAAAAAAAAAAAATTACCCATTCTCTAAAAGCTAATGTGCAATTTATTTATCGTCTTTTCTTAGAGCTAATATGTAATTTAATCGTTTTCATTCTATCGTCTGATTGTTAATATAATATTATTGAGAGCTGAGAGGACATGTATAATAAAAACAAAACGACACAGATCGGCAAAATGATAAAAAAAAAAAAATGGCGCAGATAACGTAAGACCAATTGGAGTAAACCAAGTATTCCTCCTGTTTTTCTTGCCATCTTTTCATCTTCCAACTGTACAAAAAATATGTACAAAATATTCAGACGAATTAGTTGTAGCGTCAGTCGTCAATTATCCCGCGATTCAAGTAAATATCTGATTCAAGTAGTTTCTAACGCGACGCGTTTACGTTGCAGGAAATGGCCACGTGACGCGACAGAGAAAGAACCAGGCGGCAAGATGAACACGAACGGCAATGTCGGCTCTCAGGAGGGTGGGAACGGTACCGATTACGGCTCGAGCGAGGAGACGGCAGCCCTGCTCAGCAGGGCGCCACCCCCGCCGGTCGTTGTTGCCGCGGCGTCTCAGGGCAAGCCGGTGCTCACGCGACAGGATCGAGCAACCTTTTTGGTTGCCTCGCCACAGTTGTCCGTCTCGGGGCTCGGCGGCTCCGAGGAGAGCGGCACCACCGAGGATCCGGCTACGAGATCGGTACCAGACATCGAACTGCACTGCAGGCTCGACGGCGAGACCCAACCGCAGCCGCAACCGCCACAGCCTCAACCGCAGACGCAAGTGCAGCAAACGATCATGCCTACCGGTTACCGAACCAGGCAATCTTCCCACCAACACAGGTGTCGCTGCGATCGTAGGGACTCGTTGGCTCCTTCTTCGGCACTGCACCTGGCCAGGAGCGTGTCCAGGTGAGTCCTCTTCATTCACCTCATACGACAGACTTCCATTTCATTCGGTCTGTTGATTGACTTCTGCTTTGAAGAAAGTATTTGAGTATCAATATATACAGAATGGTTCGTTTAAGTGAGGCCGACTAAACGTCTTTTCTAATTGCGACGATGCGAAAAATATTTTTCTGTGACTAACACGAATGGTATTGAAAGGTTATATATCAATAACTGGTAGGAATTTTTTTTCAGAGTTTTCAAGGTCACTGGTTTTTTCTTCTTTTTTTCACGCGCGAATGACACTCGACTGTCGTGATTATGTTATCATGGCGAAACCATTTTTTATATAGTTTATAAAAGTCACGAGGGATATTTTCAATCAAACAAAATTATTACGAAGTGAGAGTCGTACAGTTGGTCGTGAAATGAAAAATCGAAGGTCTTTCGTTGTCTCCTTAATTTCATTACATTTTTATCGATCGTGCTGGATATTGTGACATACGCCGCTTGTAGAGAATATAGAAGACCGGCAAAGTACGCAGGCCGAATTGTTCATTTCCTTATAAATTAACTGTGATCAATTTCGCGCACTTGGGAACGATTCGCTCTTAATTAGCGTTGCCTCGCGTGCATCACCGAATCGACTATTACAACGCGGACGCCTAATTCAACGTAATTACGAAATACAGGGGAATATTCAGAGGCCATTGCGGACGGAAACTTCAATTTATATAACCGGGGAAGTTTAGAAGTTCCGCCTACAATGCGGAGCACGGTTGAAGAAGGGTTGCGATGGAACCGAAGATAAACCCGTGGAATATTATAGCTTCCAATGTTTTAGAGAAGTTTACGCTGCTGGTCATCTAGGTTACAAGATGAAACCTATTTCTATTGTTGATCAGATATTTCCGTGACATTTAAGTTTCTAAGTTCCCTTCCTACGAGGGAAGGCCGGCTTAATACGATTCATTATCAGGATCTCTGCTGTGACATTCACGTTTCCGAGCTTCGTTTGTACGACAACGGATTAACAAGATTTAAAATGAAAATCAATACTCGTACGATGATATACCACCTTGCTAAAGAATTCAATTAGGTATGCAATCGCAATTATTTTTATCAGATCTCTCTGCGTGACACTTCTCTTCTTTCTAAGAAAGGTTTCCAAGTTTCGTTCGTACGGCCGCGAACTAACACGATTCGCACGGGAGGTCGATACTTATGAAAAATGATATACTGTCTCGTCGTTTCTACTGTTCGTCAGAATTTTTCCACGACATTTCAGTCTCTAAGATTCGTTCGTCGATCGATATTTACGAGGGACGATGCTATTTCGTTTGGAGAATTGAGTTTACGATGCAGTTCGTTCCTCTCTCTGTTTAACAGTCCAATTGGGCGCCGTACTTTCCAAAAAGGGCTTCGCTCGCGAAGGTTTCCGGCACAGAGTGTTAAGCTCCGACCTCGTTTCAGAATCCGCCGTGATCGAGCAACCTCTATTTGCCGCCATGGTCTGCCATTTCCTATTTCCAAATTTACGGCAACCCCTATTTCCTTATGTGTACCTCGGATTTCGCGATACAGGAAGGAACTGCGTTTCACGATATTGTGCGTGCAAACTATATATATATATATATATATATATATATATATATATATATATATATATTTAGTATATATATATATATATATATATATATATATATATATATATATATATATGATATCTGGGCTTGTAATTAACGGGGGGAGTCGAATTGTTTTTGTATAAACTGCGACTGTGTAATTTTACAGGAATTCTCGTATGACTCGAAGTTGGAATAGTGATTATTGACGATAAGATAAGTGTTTAATTAAATCTCCTCGCAATCGCAGAATCAAAAGTTGTATCATATAGAAATGTCAGATTTTTCGTTACATTACTAATATCTTTTTAAAAAATATGTAATATCTTTCTGTTAATTATTTCCTTATTGAATCACTCATATGTATATAACTTTAATTCTTTCGACCCAATCTTAGAATTCAGGAAAGTATGAAAAATAAAGTATTTCATATGTTCGAAAGAAGTGGAACTACATGTAAAGAAATGGGACGTTTTTTGACAAATTATCTCTGTATAAGATCAGCAAATCAAACGACGAGCTTTTTCTTCGGCACGATTCTAAATCAATCAAGTTGACATTGTTCTTCCTCAGCCCAATTTTCCCAATTTATAATTAAATACTTTTGCTATCGTATATTTTATGCACCTTTTTATCGTATATTTTATCCAGTTTTTCGATCGTGATAGCTTTCGCGTCTCGACAGGTGACCAACCCACACAATAGAGAGAATGCACGTAGAAAGCGAAAGGTTAAGATCGTAAAGTAACAGGCCGTGCGAAGTAGCCAACCTATTCGAAGAACAGCGTTTAATCACTGAATGATTTACGATAATTTTGCTCGTTGGTCGATGTACTGCGAACCGAGTCGCCGATGTACACGAAATAGTCTGTACTCTATTCCGAGTATTTCGACTATTATACATACATACATACATATGTCCGAGTATTTCGACTATTATACATACGTATGTCCGACTGGTTGGCAACTCTATTTTCGAACATCTATCTTTCGAATCCCTCTTATTCGTTCGTTCGTACTATTTTCTCCCTCGCTGTCAGAGATCCGTGACGACGTTTCCCTTTTATTCGCGAACGATAAGCAAGCTGAGAAAGATTCGAGGGAACGATCCTCTCATCCGAGCATCGATACATCGCTGTTTCTTCGATCCCTCCTGTACGACCGCGAGAAGTTTCTTTGAGGGGTTCTCGAGCGTAAAGAGTTCTTGGTCAAATTTGTCGCCAGCGGTTTCAGTCAGCGTGACATAATGTGAGATAGAATATGTGACATATTTAGGGAATCAAAAATTGCGGAAAGACTGAGAGGATCAGCTACCTCGGAGAAGCATATTCCGTCAGATTATGAAAACTTCCAGGATTTCTCAGAATCTGTCTGATTCGAAGTGAAATCGGATCAACTCTCGTAATCTCTCTCGTGCGAAAATTCTGACACAGTTGTCTACATATACGAAAACTAGAAAATATTAAATAACACAACCCTCCCAAATATATTAAACCAGGTCGATCATTTAATTTTGCTACAAATGAAAAACTTCATTACATCATATTTCATTTTATTTTATTTCGTACAATCGTTCAATTTTGTTGTAAATAAAAAAATGATCGATGACAAAGGGAGAACAATAAATAGCAAAGATACGAAACTAAGTAGAATATTACAATTCTTGTTCAAAGTTATCGCAGAGAGGCATTATATGTTTGCTCGAGCAACAATTCTCTGATAGAAGATGGCCAATCCGACGAATCGTTTGCTTTATTGTTAGGAAAGGCGCGAAAATTGGCTGGTTTTCTCTTTATACTGAGACTATCAGCAATCAGGCTGAAAGTTGGCGGTCACGGTGGAAATAGCTTTGGCAGATTGTATCGTCGGTATTTTCTCGTTCGCCGCGATTATCATCCATGCGGAAGACAGTTCGCCATTTCTTTCTGTCCGGGGCCGAAAAATCTCGCGAGCCAAACGACCTCGCGCAAATTTCCTCTTTGCTCGCGAGGTCGATCATCGAACCTCGAGAGGTCAGCATCCTCGATTTCTGGAATAACTTCTTCTATTTTAAGGAGCCGGGGAATCGAAATAGAAATATCCTTGTATCAGCGAGAATCGTCTATTACGTAACTCTTTCAACGATGCTATCGTTCTTCGCGTATCTATCGGAATTTGATGCCGTGTTGAAAGAACACAGGAAAGGGAAACTCTGAACATCGTATCACCATTTTTCTCTGCCATTCCAATGGGTGCAGGAAGTAGAAACGGGATCAATTTTGCTTGGGAAATGGCTTCACTTTCGAGGTGAGCAGTCGTTCTCGGGTAACTTCCTTCTGCGAGGAAGAAGCTTGAAAATTCAAAGTGTGGTGGATTATTCGGAAATAAGAAGATTTGTTCTTCGCCCTTAATTGCGTACAAAGCTAAGCCGAGTTAGGACAAACTTTATCTTGGGATCGCGTTGAATTTGGAAGCGTGAGGTGTGTTAACAATCGGACTGCTGATTCTTGTACATTTACGGAGAATGCGAAAATTCGTAGAGCAATTTTCTATCTACGTTTCACGGTCTAATGATATTCATAGAAATACAAGTTTGCACTGGTACTCACAGTTTGACGATAATCAGACGAAATTCAAGAAACCAAATTTAACCACGTTGAATTTTCTGAAACAATTCATTAGCAAATGCTTTTCATACTCGCATCAAGTCTCACGTTTCTTTGTCTGCACCTGTCGATAACTGTCGAGCAGAAAGAACAATATTTTTTTCATCGAACTCTCCGTTTCTTGAGAAAATTGAGTTTGAAAATTTATCAACTCGAACATTTGGCTAATTCTATACTGCACAAGCGCGAATAATCAACGCGAGGATATTCTACGCGCACAAATAAGTGAAAAATGTAGAGTAAAACTTTTTTGCTCAAGGCGTCGTTTTCAAGAAAATAAACGTTGAATATGTTTCGTTAAAAATTAAGTATACGTGCACTTGATAAATTTTTCGAACTCGATTTTCTCGAGAACGGTGCATCTTACAGAAAAATTTTATTTCACATTTTCCATTTACTCTCGTATACGGAATAACCTACCTTCTACTCAGTTATTCTTTTCTGTCCCGTCCAGAATTATTTAGCTAAATTCAAGTGTGCTCGATGAATTTTCAAACATCGATTTTCTCGATACGTAGAATCTAATCTCTCGGTCGGTTGACCACGAGTCGTGAGACACTCTGTACGTGTCTTTGCATTCATTAGCAATTCGAAGTAACGAAACATTGGATATGACACGTAACACGGTAGCAAACGATAAATTAATCCGATTTTAATGGAGTCCCTAGGGACAATGGTACACGAGCACATTATTCCCAATGCACAAAGTTGTCGCGCCATGGAATGACGCGCTAAAGATTTATGGAGAAATCGTATGGGAAGGGAGCAGTCTAAACGCGGAGAGCTGTGCGGTAAGCATGGAATTTTCATTGAGATAATATACGAGCTTAGATATGATATCTGAATGGGGTTGGGCAAGGGTTCTGGAACAGCGTCAGTTCAGCAGCTCATGGATAAACTCGACTCTGAAATTCTTCGAACGTTACTCCTTCCTACGTCGTAAAAACAATTGACATAAATTCCTTGACACTTTCCTGCTACACTGGCAAAAATTTCTGGTAAAAGAGAAAAGAAAAGGAGTGTATCTATCGTTGAATTGATTGGAAACATCGGGGCACATCTGCAAGTAAATTCTGCAAAGGAAATTCAGAAAGATCCTTCTCGAGAGAAAAATCAGACTGCCAGGAAGGAACAAGAAGTACATTTAAATTTTAAATCGCCCAACTCTTTAGGTATTTCCATGTTAAACTCATTTGATTCGCTACTCGGTGCGAATTAACGCGTGCTTACACGACGCGACGTGCAAATATATGCGTTTTGTGGAAGCCGGAGGCATTTCGAAAAAAGTAGAAAGAATAAATAAAAGGATAATTTCGAAAGGGTAGAATCGTCGACTTATCGTCAATGTTGAAGTTTTTAAAAATAGAAAACACAACAAACACTTGGAGGAGAAGGATACGATAATTTGAATAAATTTGAATGATGCTTGTTTATACTTAATCGAGGGAACTCTACAAAGAAAGTCAAAACTAGCGCGCATCGTAATCGCCGGATTGTTACGAAGAATCCACAAGCATGGAGCCCTTATGCTATCTTCTATACAAGGCTACCGTTAACGACATCTTGAGACGTCGCCTCTCTCTTTGCATCGACGTTGTTCGAACTGGAGAGCACTCAGCCTCACAAAGACGGTGGACAAAGAGGGGTCCCTCTGCCGTCACAATGCTCGAGAGTACATTCTGCGGGCAAAATCGAATTAGTTACTCCCCGCCGGGACTCACCTTGGCTCCTTTTTTCTCCGCTTTTATTCCCTCGATTCTTATTATTATATGATGCTCGTCGTGCGGTTTTGTTCTTTGTCAGAAGGGAACAGGGGTAACCTGATACGCCTTTAATTGCATGTGCAAGAGTTCCCTTCGCGTAAGAGAAGCCCCGTGAGTGGTCCTCGTTTAAATTCGATTTCGAGAATGTTGTTGCCCGTTTAAACACGGGCGAGCAAGAATTAATTCTAATTATCACGGTAAGCGTGACCAATTGACCTCTTCGTGGGTTTGCGGTTATACCGTATCCCCTAATTTCCTTACTTGCGAACTAATATTTATTACACCCGGTGTGTATTAACGCCAATTGCGAAGCGACTTTGCAAATTAGTTTGCTCGACGTCTCACGCGGAACACTCAACCCTTTGAGACGAACCGCGTCGAGTAAACGACCATCACAACGTTTGCCACTGCGAATTTGCCAAAAGGTGGGGAATTTGATGTTGACCGGTCGAGCGGAATCTCGTTTTATAGTTTCGCGGTTGACGTTGAATGATTTGTTCAGTTTCGGCACTCACTGAGCGGCTGAACGGCTCCATCCTCTGCATAATTTTGAAAAATATCGCTTGTCACGGATGGACGTGGATAAATTTATTTTTCGACGCTTTTTGGATTTTATTTTTACACGAGTGTTACTTGCTTTCATACTTTTAGAGATTGATGGACTGTGGACTCTCGGGGAAACGGGTTGTTTTCACTTTCAACCATGTCGTATCAAACTTACCAGTGACCATTCATAACGCTGGAACTACCGACGATTAAAATGGCAAAATTTGTAGCAGAGAAATTGAAGCGCAAGGGAAAATATTTATAGTACAATATAAAGTTAAAATATGTTTATATTTATAAAACAATATATTATATTATAACATACTGTATTATAATAACTAAATAATATCTGATATATTTATAATAACTATAACGTTAAGATATATTTTATTACATTTATAATACAGCAATAATACAATGAAGAATACAATCTTTTAATTAAAATATAAGATATATTTTAATAAAAATGATTCAGTGGCCTCTAAAGACACACTGTTGCAAATCAATGAAACTTCTAGAGTTCTAGAGAAATTTCTCGAGAATTGGTCATTTCGATTGCTTTGGTAGTTCTAGCGTTAATTTCTGCTTTTAGTGTTGAGATTGTTCCCGAGGATTTCTACGTGCTCATAGTTTTCCATATGATTTACCTCTTTAGAGTAGCAATTATGCTAACTGCGTCGTAAAGGCCTTAACCAAATGGTACTTGCGTACTTGTCGCGAGTACATTCTTCTCGATATAGTCGATGGCATTGTGTCTATCCCATTGTTTCGCATCGATACATGTTAGGGGCATTGCTCAAGTTTGCACGCATATGTATCTGTAATATACAGAATATATGCTATATATATTATATATACGTGCACTATATATAGTATATACTAAGGATGGTAAGCAATAGTTCCATTGACATTCGCCTGTTTACCAATTGCATAAGATAATTAATTCCCAATATCAATTGACAATGTCGTCTGCTATTCATCGAGCGAAATTTCATTAATGCTTCTG